CTATTGCGCTAGCGGCAATGTCATTTACGCCATCAGCTGCAAGAGATGTGGCATGAAATACATTGGGGAAACGGGTCTACGACTGGCTGACATGTTCTGACAACATTTTTTTGATGTGCAAAACGGTGCCCTGAAACCAGTATCGTTGCACTTCAATTCCCAGGATCGCCAAGGTGTCTACGACAGCCATTAAATCTAGCCACTCCAGCGACAGAGTCCGCAAGCCTCTTGAAAATCGCTTTATTTACACTTTAGCAACTATAACAACCAAAGAACTAGACTATCAACACAGTTTGACCTAAAATTTTCGAGTTATGATCCTTGGCATTCTACGGGTATTTATTCTCCGGTTCAGTGTGTTCTTTTCATCGTACTGGCAAGACATTCACGTGGCTGCATTTGGATACGTGAGTTAAGTGATTTTGTGCATTCTCGTGGTTTTGTTTGATTTATGTATGTGCTGACAAAGAATCTGTAGCCGCAAGCTCCATTTTACATTTGGTTGTTTTATTGTGAAGCTTCGGTTTTATCTCTTTCAATGATTTGGAGAGAGCCCACTGATCATCTCAACAATTCTAACTTTTTGCATGGTTAATTCAATTATGAAAGGAAGGCATATTAAAGAAGAAGAAATGGACTATGGCGCATTCTAACATCCCCTCTGCAATATGTTCATTACCACATGGCGATGACCTACCAGTGCCCACCCAAAGTGCCATAATTTTTTTTAGCTGCCTCTACTGCTGAACCACCAAACTCAATCGACCCACATTTTCAGCAATCTACATTTACTAAACCACATTTAATAACCCAAAGTAAATTTAATAATCTTGTAAGAGATTTGAATTTACAGAAGAACAAAGCGGAGCTTTCGGGTTCTAGATTGCAACAGTCGAATCTTCCGACGGAAGATGATAGAGTTTCTGTGTACAGTAACCGGTAGAAGCCGCTTAACATTTTTGTTTTCAAATAAGGTGACCTTTCTGCTTGCCACTTTTCTTGGTTAATGGCAGCCGTAAAATCAGGTACAAAGCTGAAGAGTGGAGGCTTTTTATTGATTCATCCAAGATGTTTTAAAGCTGTTTTGTTGAATAATGATAATGTATTACCATCAATTTCAGTTGGTTACGCATTTCACATTAAAGAAACTTATGAAAACAGTAAGCATCTTTTGAAGTGTATGAATTACGTTCATCAACACTGGTCACTTTGCGGCGATTTAGAATTAGTGGCTACTTTGCTTGGACTACAGTGTGGATATACCAAGTACTGCTGATTTCTCTGTGAATGAGATAGCGGTGCACGACGTGACCATTACATTAAAAGACATTGGCCAGTGAGCCAGTCATTGCAGCCTGGCAGATAGTTGAAAAACCAGCACTTGCCGACACCAGAAAAATTTAGTTGCCACCCTTGCTGGGTCTCATGAAAAACTTTTTCAAATCCATTGAGAAAGTTAATGCTTTCAAATATGTCATCAGAAAATGTCCAAGACTGAGTGAAGCTAAAATAAGAGAGGTAGTGTTTGTTGGTACGCAAACTCGAAAACTTCTTCACGATGAAAAGTTAAGTTTGTTTGTTTGTGGCATAGCAAGGAAAAAGCAGCATGGCTAGCATTTAAGTCAGTGATGGACAATCTTTTTGGAAACAACAAATCTGATAATTACAATGAGATTGCAGGAAATCTTCTTCTACAGTATGATAGTCTTGGCTGCAACATGTCTTTAAAAAAAGTTGTTTTTTTATTTTCATTTCTTTACGTCAAACTGTCGAGCTGTCGGCGATAGGCATGGTGAACAATTTCATCAGGACATGGTGCTATGGAGATGAGATATCGAGGCAATTTGAGCCCTTCAATGTTTGCTTATTACTGCTGTCTTGTGACAACAGACACCTCATCAATTGAATACTAAAAGCAAGCAAAGTGCTCCTGACTGATGACAAAAAAGGTTCAAATGTTTATTTTAAAATATTTAATGTGAACTTTAAATATTTTGTATTTATTATTTCTATCATTTAATGTTGAAATGTCTATTACCAGAGTGTGCAACAACAATTTTTGTAAAGCTATATAGAAAAACTAACTGTTCATTCCAGAAAAAAAAGCATACATTATTCGTATTACAGTAATGTAAATTCGTCATTTAAAAAAATGTAAATTTAATTATCTTCTTCTTCTTGAGGTTCATTGCTGCAGATATCACCCGCCTCCATTCATCTCTCTGGTTGGCCTTTTCTTTCCAGTTTTTGACATCAATTGTTTGCAGGTCTAATTTGATATTATTATCTCTCCATCGTCTTCTTGGTCTGCCTCGTGGCTACGACCATTCACCCCCCTCGTGTATGCAGTTTTTACTACTCTGTCATCTGACATTCTTTGAATATGCCCAAACCATTTCAGTCTATTAGCTCTCATGGTGCCAGTGATCAGTGGTGATTTAAACAGATTATGAATTTCGTTGTTGCTACTCTCTCCATTCACCGCTGTTTGCATCTTTGATGGGTCCTAAGGTTCGTTGTTTTCGAAAACCTGTAATAAAGCTTCATCTCTTTTAGGTGTGATCCAAGTTTCCGTTCCATATAAAACGACTGGTCTTATCAACGTTTTATATATTTTGATCTTGGTGTTGCGAGACAGACACTTTGACTTTTGCAGATGTGGAAGGTCATAGTATATACTTTATTTCCAGATTGTATTTTAGATTGTATTTCTTCTCTCAGCATGTTGGAGTAGTTGAATTTTGCACCCAAGTACCTATGTATTTCCTTTCGTTTGATTTTCATATTATCGACTTGTATGTGGCCGGAGTTTATTTTCTTTCCCTGTCTATTTATTATCATGCATTCTGTCTTATCTTGATTGATAACCAGTCCTATTTTTCAGAGCTGATTCTGTTAGGACAGTCAGTGTGTTAACAATCTGTTGTTCATTTTCTTCAACTATATCAATGTCATCAGTAAATCCAAATATTCTTGTAGTTTCTCCTATAGCATACACTGTTGTTTCAATTTCCTTATAATTTTCTCACTGGCTAAGTTTACAAGAAGTGGGGGCAGATCATCACCTTGCTTTAAACCGAATGTTATTTGAAAACGGTCTGACTTTTTGCCTTTATATATTAATTAGGGCTGTACCGAATATTCGCTTCGTATTCGCTTCGGGGTCGAATAGTGGACCTACTAGCTATTCGGTATTCGACCGAATAGTGGCGGTCGGGCCGAATACGAATAGTGATTTCTGCATACACTGCGATGGACTAAAATAACTCTCTCATTAATAATGTCACAATTTATAGCCAACTTTTCTTGATTTTTGCCGCGGCACCCCTCTCATACGCACCCAGTTTTAGAACCTCTGCTGTAATGCCTCAGAGTCAGGCGCTGTTACCACGCAAACGAGTCGGCGTTTTTCCCGCTACGAAAGATTTAGGCATCGCTACTGTTGTGTTAAAGAAGGCATGAAGAAACTTGAAAGTGTATCTGTGTGTGTGTGTGTGTGTGTGTGTGTGTGTGTGTGTGTGTGTGAGAGAGAGAGAGAGAGAGAGAGACAAAGAGAAAGCATGCATTTTTTTTTTGGTTCTTTCGGGGTGTCTTTTCCCAAATCAAATCGAAGATATTGCAAACGAGAATATGAAGGTGCATTTAAATTACATTGAACGAACGCCTGAACGAAAAATGATTTAAATGCGAATTTGGCACATGGATAAAATCAGATGAAAGATGCATTACTAAAATAAAAAAACAAAATAGGACAGGCAAAAACTGCATTTTAAAAAAAAAAAAAAAAAAAAAAAAACATCTTGTGCAATATATCGTTGTCTTGCTTGCAACATACATCCAGTTTCAACATATGGCTATGAGTCCTGGACAATTGGTAGCCAGGCCAAACAATTTTTTGAGGCCTCAGAGATGTGCTTTTACAGAACAATGCTTAAAATACCTTGGACAGCTTAAAAAAAAGCAACCACTAGGTTTTGAAAGAGGCGGGAGCCCGAAGACAACTTATCTCAGACATCAGAAGGAGACAGTCATCATTTTTCGGCCATCTTATAAGAAGAGTGAAAATGGAACATATGGTGACCACTGGAAAGATTTGTGGAAGGAGAGATAGAAAAAGACAAAGAGAGAAGATTCTTGACAGTCTTGTTGCATATCATGGAGGTGTGTAAGCACACGAACTGATACATGCTGCAGGAGATCACAGATTGTGGCGAGGCAAAATCGCCAACACCAGTCGAAAAGGCACCTGATGATGATGATACACTATTCGTATTCGTATTCTTATTCGGCCAAATAGTTGGTCCCACTATTCGTATTCGGCCGAATAGTGAAAATCACTATTCGGTACAGCCCTAATACATACATACATACATACATACATACATACATACATACATACATACATACATACATACATACATACATACATACATACATACATACATACATACATACATACATACATACATACATACATACATACATACATACATACATACATACATACATACATACATACATACATACATACATACATACATACATACATACATACATACATACATACATACATACATACATACATACATACATACATACATACATACATACATACACTGCGTGCAAATGTTCTCATTTCTTTTATTGTTATAAAACTTTAATGAAAAGCAATTGTTATTCATTATTCATAAGTCTTTTCTTTAGTAAAGCATTATTATAGCATTTTGTGTTGTTTCCATTCATTGTCTGTATTAGGAAACATTGCATAACTGTTTTAATTCATTTGGTTAGTTACAGTTACTGTTGTTATTTTCTCAGTATTTGAAACAAATATTCATGAAATCAAGCGTCTGTGGTGAATGTGGCGTGGCTTTGTTAATATTTACAGCATAATAAAAAACATCATCTGTCTGTATAATTTGTTATTGTGAATGTGTGATTTATAGGTTTCAATCAATTCGAATTTGTTGTCTGTTGCTCAACTGGAATCTTCTAGTGAATCAGCTCGTCAGAACTGCACTGTCATTATTTCCTTTATTCTGTCTGTCTCTGTGTGTATAATCCAGTAAACTCTCATAATGACAGTCCCTGACGCTTGCAAAGTAGCCACTGTAGTATAAACGACAACTAACAATATTGTTGTCAAAGTTGCTTTCAGCTACTAACATGGTAGGATTCACTTCCATCTGAAACCCAAACAAATTTACATATGAATTTATAACAATTACTTTACAACGGTCTCTTTAATGCATTATAAACGTACATGTACATCATACTCTTACACACGAATAGGTTTGTATATATGTATTATATACGTACATGTGTTTGCATTTACGTGCGTAATTGCGCGCGTACGTACACTCACACACATGTATATATATTGGTATGTATGTACGTACGTACGTATGCATGTATGTATCTGTGTATGTATATATGTGTGTGTGTGTATGTATGTTTAAATCATTCTGTATGTGGGGCCACTTGCCGATAGCTGAACCAGTCAGTCATGTATCTGTCTCTCTATAATTATGTGGTCTCTCTGTCTATCTAATCTATTCTAACCAAATAAACAAAAGGACGTGACTTAGTTTTTTATTGGTGAGTATGTTTTCCGCCCAGTAAAAGTGTACTCTTGGATGGAAATTATTGTCCTAATCACTACATGGCATTTTGCACCAGATAATAAGACTGTCTGGAGACAGTTATATACAACGCTTGGAGACGATTGGACTGGCCCTCGCGTTGGTCCTCATCCTGGCGTGGTACACAGTGTCCCCTAACTCTTTCAGGACTATAATTGTGGCGCCATGTATATCGTTCCTGGTCTAGAGCTTTTCTGCACGCGGACAATACCAGCTTAAGCGTCTGCTTAGCTCTGCACAGAGGACATGTCGGGCCAGTGGTCGCATGCCATTTGCCCAATTGGCGCTAGAGAGTAACACATCATAAGCAAATCTTACGACAAAGCTTAGCCGCAGCGGGGCTATTCGCCGGATCTCACACCATATGAGTATTCGTGGCAAGGCGCTCTCGATGCCGATTTAATGTCCTTGCTGCAACCGCTGGGATTGTGTGGACCTGAATTTCGTTTTCAGAGTCCCTGATCTGCTGCATTACCATGTCTTTGTGTTCTTTGGCTGAGGCCTTGAACCACCAAGTGACTTCTCCTTAGCCTAGGCCGCGACGGTCGGTTTGTGTGTAACCCATTACTTCCCATAACGTTAGTTTGTTCTGAGCAGATTAGATGGCATCTTAGACCTTCCATTAATATAGGAGAGGAGAAAACATACCCGAGCAACAATTTTATCATCTAATAACACTATGCTGGCATTAGGAACAGGTCCTACGTGACTTGAAGATTCGAGCTTTATAACTATTCAAATTAGCAAAGTATAGAAAGGATAGTTTAAGAGGATATGGAATCAGCAAACATCTAACTGAAGTGTGTAAGAGCTTATATACATCAAGTAAAGGTTGCATAAGAGCAAAAACAGGTACATTGCAGCAACCTTTTGAGGTATATATAGTGGGTAAGACTTGGATGTGTGCTATCTTCCCTGCTTTTTTAAAAATACATCGAGAATACACGCAAAGACTCAGAAAGCAAGAAAGGAATAATATCTCAGAATTGTTATTTGCGGATGACCGAGTATTAATAGATAAAACAGATTAGAGTTTACAGAACCATATAGACTAATTTAATATAATATGAGGATAAGCATTGATAAGACAGAGGTAATGATAATGTGTAGCCAAGAAGAAACCATATCAATTAAAGTAAATAACACAGACATAAAATTAAAGTAAATAACACGACATAAAACAAACGAGCGAATTTAAATATCTAGGGTCATTTTTCACCTCAGATGGAAGAATAGATAGATAATTCAACACACACTAAAGCAAATCAGGCTATGGGACAATTAACACCGCTTATGACCCACAGGAAGATGCCTCTGTCAACCAAAGCAAATCTCATAAGAACAGTTTTTGTTGCCGACATTGTACTACCAGTGTCAAACAAAGACCCTTACTACACTACAATTAATGAGCGGAAGATCGTAAAAACATAAATGATATGTTTTAGACGAGCTGCCAGTTTGACAAGAATAGATACAATCTGGAATGAAGACATTAGAAGAAGACTAGGACTGAAACCAGTTATAAAATTCATTAAAGAACAATAAATTAGATTGTTTGACCACCTGATGAGAATGTCCTGGTACCAACTGTCACAGATAGCCACGCTGAAGAAATATAATGAACACAGATCAAGGGAAATACCACGCAAGAGATGGGGCGACATCATCAGGAGCAACCTAACATAAATGAATACCAACTTGTGCAATGCATTGAAAAAAGGGCACAAACAAACCTCGCTGAGGTAAATGACGGAAGTGAAGAAGAAGACAAGAGTAGCTGCAATAACTACAGGAAAATATCACTATTGTGTACTGATGGAAAAATTACTTGCCAGAACAGTTCTGCGAAGACTTTAGATCCTAGAAGACCAGGTTTACACAGCCACAATGTGATTTTGAAGGAAACAGGTCTAATCCTGATATGGCATTCTCTTTTCGACAGTTGCAATAAAAATAACGGAAATGAAACCACCCACGTGTAGATTATTTTATGTGACCTTACCAAGGCATTTTATTTGGTTAAACCTGGAGGCTTGCTCAAAAGGCTCAGATATTCATCTACGCTGTTAAACGTCATTTAGTCGTTCCACACAGAGGTGTAATCAATTCTGATGGTATATTTGCAGAAGAGTTTACAATGAAGAAAGGATTGAAGCAGGGATATGTACTTGTTGATTTCCTCTTTTGAATATACTTCTCACTACTTTTAAAATATCAGAAAAAAGGATGGAAATGGAGAACAAACAGTTGGTTTCTGCTACATGACAATGCGCTATCACATCAATCCCTTTTGGTAAAGTAGTAGCTCGCACGCATAATGTGATTTCGCTACCCTGACTGAAAATGTCTTACTGTGTCCCCATATTTTGTTGGACTGGCGACAAAATCATTCATACTTCTTCATCTTGAAGTTGTGTGGCTCCTCAATTCTCGACTGATATAAAATAGGTAACTGGTTAAAGTCTTCTTGTTCACATTCAACCTTGCTGTATTTACCATCGTGACCAAATTAGATGCTATGTACGTCAATGGTTTTCCTACAGGTGGACAATTTTCTTCGTTATATGCTTCTATCCACATTTGGAGTACTTAACAATTTAGTACTTCGCCTGTTTGACTAGACAAGACAGCGTAAACACAACTTACGATGATATCAAGCTGTGTTATCACGTGCCATAAATCGCCTCATTCTTTTCCTATGTCACCATTTCGTCTAGCTGTTCCATTTTTTTTGTATTAGACCTGTCGTCTTCTGAGGTTCAGGTCTCTTGTATCGCTTTCTATATACGTTCCCTGGTTGACCATTTTAGCTACTGTCATACTTCCCCTGTCTGAATTAGTGTTTGTTAAGCAGCGTAAATCTCAAATCATACTTTAGTTTCAGCCATTCAGGACACAATCAAGTGCACTGAAGCCACTGCATTTCCGACCCGTTTATATAGCACTGGCAGTGATCTATAGACAATAAATAGTATCTGGTGAATCGCGTAGCATACTTGCAAATCTGGCTGTGTGGGTTAAAAATTCACAACAGAGGATTAAAAAAAAAAAAAAAAGAGTGAGTTTTAATTCTTTTTACAGTATTTACGTTTCATTATTCAACTAGAACAGGTGTCATCAGTCGTTTTCCACTTGTTGAACTTTTGTGGAGGAGATCAGAGAACTTATTGATCTGCCTGAAGTACTGTGATGATAATGTGGGACTGCTTCCAGTTTTTCTTGGAGTGCAAGAGACGACTGTTAGAGAATGACTGGAGCCACGTTTCGTTGACGGTCTTGTCTATAGAGTTTCATCCTATAAGCGTTTTTTGGGTTTCGTGTACAAGGACATGGCTGGCCACGGAATGGTCTGGATGATGTTGTCAGCGAGGAACAGGTTAATGAGTTGTGTGTGCCACATGAGATATCTCATTATCTTGCCCAACAATTGACCTTCATGCAGCCATAAGTGGATAGGTCTAACAATAAAGACATTCAACGACGTATCGTTTGTCGTTCGGGCGTCTTTCAGTTTGCACCAGGTCGTTTTCCCCACTCTTCCCACATCAGCAAATATCGACCACCATACGGAGGAACTTCATCCACGCAGTTCTGTATGCAGCGCTCGTGGATTCTTTTCCTTATATCATGACCCTAGAGCATATAGAGTGGTTAGTTACTAAACCAAACTGTCTCAAGTCATTCCCATCACCAAGGGTCACATAAAGGTAGTTGTGTCAAATGCCCAAAAAGGTCCCAATGCACTAAAGATTATGGCAGCAATGTACATAGAGCAAAGAATGAAGTTCACACTATACAAGCATTTAATCATCTCAGTGAGTTGAATTGTAAAGATTGACATTACATCACTCAGGGCATTCCCATGTGTGTTCTGTCCTTATCTTCAGCAGCCAGCGCAGAGTTCCAGTACTGATGGTACCGGTCACAATCTGATTATGTGTCCGTCTAGCCTTTCCCCTGAGTGTAGTAAGCCGGCCAGACCCTCTGGTTACACCCAGGGGCCTCATTCTTTCCACATAATAATCTTCTTTCTCTACTAATTCCGTTGCTTGTTCTCAAAGGGCCCTGACCACATCTGCCTTGTCATGTATCAATTCACCACCCAGTTGTGCAGATCCAGCTAGTCTGTCTGTCTGTTCATTGCCCACTACGCCAGCATCGCCTGGAAAAGATCCAAAATATGCTCACACCCGTGACCTTCCCAGTGAAGCTTGCCACTCTGCTCGAAGTATCCCTGTCTTCACCTCTCTCAGCATGCTTTAAGAGTCTGTTACAATTATGACACGTGTATGCATCTTGTTCTCTAGCCACTGGAAAGCTGCAGTTACCACCCCCACCTCCATTCTCATTTGGATGTTGTGATGTCGTATGCTAGGCAGTCTTGTACTAAAGATTCTCTATTGGCTTTCGCTACGAACCCACAGGCACTTCTCTTTCCTCTCAACACCTAACTATCTGTGTAGATAATAAGATCACCCCTTTGTGAATTGTTGTGAATCATCTGTTGGGCTTCCACCTCCGTAGCGCCCACTTGCCATTCTCTGCACTCCCGACCCAATGTGATCATAACCTTACACATGTCAGGCTTTTCTTATGGTACTCTGACCTAATCCTTTCACCACCCAATGTTCTCCAGCATGCATACATGTCTTTTTGTGTCTTTTGCTTGAGCCATCCAAGATTTTTCCCTTTTCAGCTTTTGACACTTAACTGCATCCAAAGCTTCATACAGAGAGTGCTCTTTATCTGCAGCTACCATGAGGTATGACTTAGCCTGCAACACTTTTAGTCTATCTGCAAAAGTCGGCAATGCAAGGATGTATCGCATTCACACAATCGAGGTGTCTCTTGTACATCCCAGGATCACCCGCATAGCTTTATTCTGAATGCGCTCCAGTTTCTCTAGCTGACTCTTCGAGACAGTGAGTAACCCCAGTCCATAATGTCACTGAATACAGATGGAGATTGGTGGCCTAAGCTGGAACATAACAAATATACAATCGTTAACATTCCAAAGAAAGTTAATCTCACTGACTGTAACCACTGCAGATGGATTTCTCTGTTTTCATTAACGACAAAGAGTTTCTGTAAAATAATTCTCAGTAGAATAAAAGGGTTAGTGGACAAAACCCTGAGAGAGAAACAAGCAGGGTTTCGACCTGGAAGAAGCTGCGAAGATCAAATATTCACACAGAGACTAATTTTTGAGGAATCTATTAGAAAACCACAACCCTTTATTATCGACTTAAAGAAGGCTTTTGATCGTTTACACTGTTGGGAACTTTTGAAATTCTATGGTATGAAAATAAAATTAAAAAATAATATTAAGGCAATACCTGAAGGTTTCAGAGTGTGCAGTGCGAACAGACGATGGTTTAAGTGATTGGTTTGAAGTTAATGCTGGAGTGATGTATTTTATCTCCTCTGTTATTTGACATAACCTTTGACAGGGTTTAAAAAAAATTTTGATGGAAACAACGCCATTAACTGCGTGAAGAACAAACAATTGGGTAATCTCAATTTTACTGATATTTTTTTTTTTGGGCTACGTTAAAACTACAATGAAAAGGAAAGAAAAATATAGCATAAAAGGTTTTACTTCAAATAAATTATGAAAAGACACATATACTGAAGATACCAACAACAGATCAAGCAAATATTACACACAGAGTTAATATAACGTAACAGAGCAATTTACTTATTTTGGTAGTGTTTTTTTCTAGTAATGGAAATTTAAAGAAAGAAATTATGACACGAATTGTCAAGGTATCAGCAGCCTTTAAAAGTTTGAACAAAATATAGAACTCTAAATTGTATAGTGAGTGTCAAAACTAAGTTACGCATTATCAGTTCTGATGTTATTTTAGTTTTAACATATGCCAATGAAAGTTAGAGAACTAAAAGCAATATGGAATGAAAGTTAAATGCATTTGAAAACAATTTATATGGGAAAATATTGGATTAATTCAGTGAAGAAACTGGAAATTTCTGGGCAACCACTAGTATCAACAGTTATAAGACAGAGAAGATGACGCTATATTTGACACTCTTGATAAGAAGCCAGCAGAGAATCACAAAACAGGCATGCACTTGGAAATGAATGAATTAAGGTTAATAGGACGCCAAAAAAAAAAAAAACCCACCTTAAAACAAATGTTGATAAGAGAGGCAAAGGTACTGGACTGGATTCCATCCATGATATAGAGCTGAATGCAGAGGATAGAACGGAATGAAAGGATAGAATGCAAGCCCTGTGTGACATAGTGTGGCACAACATTACAATGAATTAATTATTGAATATTACTACTAGTGTTTTACAGATTTCGTGCACAAAAGACTACTCCAAAAGGGGGAGGGGGATGGTGAGAATATTTAAAATACTTTGCTGATAATTAAACATTTAGTTGGGCAACCACACAATGCTGCAAAAATAATTTCAACTGCCACCTTGTAATTGCCCTTGCCAAACAAAGTTTTAGGTTGTTTCACATGACAGCTATTGTATGCAAAACAAATGAGGAAAGGAAAATACCTACCAAAAATGTATAGTCTCCTGGTTTAAGTTCAGAGATATCAATCCACTGGCAATCAATGTCATACATGTAATTGTCTGAGCAATTCACAGACAGACCTATTATAGATGGCAACAATTATTTAAAAAAATCAGCAGCAGCAGCTATACATTAAAATACAATTTGCAGAAACAGTTATATGTGTGTATGTATGTAATGTATGTATATATGAATGTAAATAGAAGAATGTACAATTGGATTATAGCATATCTACATATCAGAAGAGCCAGGGTACAAGTAGATGGTTTCAAAAATATAAAAAATGTTCTACTGCGACATGGCGTCCCTCAAGGTGGTGTCCTGTCGCCCACACTTTTCCTTTTATTCATCAATGGTTGCTGAAATACTAAATGGAATCAAAATAGCAATGTATGCCGACGACCTGGTACTGTGGTGCCCCGATAAACATGCAACGATAGCCACAAGAACACTATAGCGAGCTACATATGCACTTGAGGCATATGCGAATAGATGGTGTGTCAGCATCAATACAGACAAATGTAGCACCACACTCTTCACTCTCTCCCTAAAGCAAAAAGCGGGCATCATCAAAATAAACGGAATACCCCTAAGAGATAATAAAGAGCCTACGTACCTCGGAGTCACATTTGATAACAGGTTGACATGGATAAAACATATCAACAAGGCAGCAACCAAAGCCAGGAGGAAGACAGCCATACTAAGAACACTAAGTGGAACCACATGGAGAGCCAGTTTGAAAATATTCAATAAAGTATACAAGCAGAGCATACAACCACACTTGGAATTGGAATATAGGTCAACTGCATGGTGTTCAGCATCTAGTACCACATTAAAGGAGTTGGACAAAGTGCAAAATCAAGCACTCAGAGTCATCACAGGAGGGATAAAATCAACTCCAATAATAGAAATGGAGAAAGCTGGGAAAACACAGGCACTGAGAGAACGCAGAGATACAAAGTTGCAAATACAAGCTGAAAAGTTCCTCAGTCTGCCAGATCACCCCATGAAAAATAGATTTCAGAACCTAGCCTTGGGACGGTTAAAAAGAAGCATCAAGCAAAAGTCCAGCGTACCAACCGGTAAGTACTGCCATAACTATGATGCAGAAACTCAGGCTATCAAGATAGCAACAGAGCAACTGCTAAATACCAATCTTGGCTCACAGTATGTGGTAATGCTGACAGATGCAAAATCAGTACTCGAAGCACTCCAGTCTAGGAAACTACCAGAATTGCAAACACTGCTGACACAATTAAGCCTTCAGCGAAGAGTTGTGATGCAGTGGATACCATCATATTGTGGAGTGCCTGAAAATGAGAAAGCTGATCAACTGGCAGGAAAATGTGCGACAAAAGTGCAGCCGGATGTACCAGTCACATACCACTAAAAGAAAAGAATAATTAAATCAATCAGGAAACCACCAGCTCCAGCCCAAGCTGACTATTTTATTATGGACAGATCAGTAACAAGTCATTATCCTCCGCTTCAGAACAGGGCACAACCGATTACGTAACCACATGTACACAAAATTCAAGATAGGCGTATCAGCGATGTGCACCCGTTGAAAGGTGCCCCAGACAGCAGAGCATGTACTCCAGGACTGCACTGAATTTGACACATTAAGGCAAACCTTTTGGCCAGAAAGAACAACAGTTAAACGTAAACTGAATGAATTAACAACAACAGTGAAATTTATACAAGAGACAAAATTGCTGATATAGACAACTTATTTCAGGCGAACGAAAGAAGAAAAAGATTATTTTAAAAATCGGCAGCAGCTATGCATTAAAATACAATTTGCAGAAACAGTTATATGTGTGTATGTATGTAATGTATGTATATATGAATGTAAGAAGAAACTCCACAGGGGAGTATGTACAGCAGGAGTCTACCAAGCATCAGTAGAAGTAACCTCTCGTCGACAAATGTTTCGGCCACGAGCTTCTATACATTTTCAGAGTGGGCCCACCTGAGTTCATGAAGCTCATGGCTGGTTTCCTCTGCTGCACGTATTCCTGGGTGTTATTCGGACTGGACAAGACGAATTGATGACTTTGCAAAAGGTACTGAGAGATAAGAAGTCGTTGCGTTAGCATAATTAAAGAAGTCTGCATACTTGAACGACCGAATGGCAAGCTTACGATTGGTTTACCGAACACATGTTGGACTTTTTAGCAAGTGGCAGAGGGACACTGGCAGACAATTCGGACACGATGGACTTTATGGGATGAGAAATTCTTTTCCACTAGACACCCGGACCAGCTCACCGAGGCCCGTCCCCCACGTTGTTCCGTTGTGTCCAGAGCCAGCTCGAGGCCCTCTCAGCAACCTCGCCCAGTTGTTTGAGTGTTTGTTTGCGTTCATTACATCTTAAGCCTAGTTGTTTAATCACAATGTAAAGTGAAGTGGAAACGAGACCTCTTGCGCCTAATTTGACTACAAAGATTCGTACTGTGTACGCTTCGTCTTTCCTCAGACTGGCTGCTAAGTCACTGTATTTCTAGAGCTTATACATATAGCTTTCGTCCATTCACGACTCATACAGCACGGTCAGCTCAATCAGGATGAGCTGACGTTTCTCCGCAGAGTGGAGAACTATGTCAGGTCGCAGGCCGGTCTTCCGGATTAACTCAGGGTACTTTTCATGGCCAGGCAGGTAAACCGCCAGTAACCAGTCCCTCGCACAGTCTAGAATCGATGGAGCGTATGCGACTTTGTTAAATTTCCCTTTTTTTTTCTGCCCAGCCTTAAGGAAGCGTATGGGGACGACGGTAGGACTGGCCCTCGCATTGGCCCTTATCCTAGCTTGGTCCACAACGGCTGCCAACTCTTTTAGCACTTTGTTGTGGCGCCAAGTGTGTCTGCCTTGACCTAGGGTTTTTCTGCACGCGGACAGAACGTGCTCGAGCGTTAGCTTAGCTCTGCATAGCAGGCATGACGGGTCGTTAGTCGCACTCCACTTTACCATGTTGACACAAGACGGTAATACATCATAGGCCAAACGAACGCCGCACCATGGTCTTAGAGATGCAGTTTGGGATTTTCCCTTTCATCAAAGGAGACCAGGATGGCATTTCTCAAACTCTCTAGGTACTTTCTGAAAATATGTAATCTTTAACTGCTTACCTTTTTTTTCTTTAAATTTAAATAATAACAAATATTTATGAGCACACAGCTGGTAACATACCTTGATCTGCAAAGCCACGACAGTTATAGTTTGGATGGACGCCTTTATCACACGTTGTATCTTCTAGACAGAAGCTAGCTTTGCTTCCCTCTGCTAATCGAGTTCCATTAGAATTTAAAATATCATAATGAGCAAAAATTTCCATGCTGTGGTAATGCCTAAAATAGAATAAAATAGACATATTAGTTCAAGTATGTTATTTTAAAATCCATATATCAAGATACTATAAAAATCGTTTAATACTCATCACTATCAAGTGCCTTGACGACTGGTGTGAGCGATCATGCCTATCCACATTCTGCGAATGCGTTTGATACTAGCAACATTGAGTTTATTTCAAGTTAACTTACACATGTGAAACAACACAGATGCATTGTTACATTAATGTGACGCTAGCTATCATCATTGTCCTGTAGATAGGGAGTCGTGGTAGGGCATTGGCTTTGACGCTTACCTATCGACCTGGATGGTCATAGTCCACATCCATATCAAGATAGATTTAATCTATTGATATGGGTTTCAATGCCTATCTAGTCTAATATATATATATATATATATATATATATCTAATATATATATAAACACAAAGTGTGATAATTACTACATCACCCATTGAGCACCAATTTGTCTTATTCTTCTAAAACATTCCGAGTTTTTGATGTTAATTACAGTAGATACCATCGGCCTCGGCGCATCTCTGTAACTGGCCTCTCTTCAGTTGGTGTTGCCACGTGTTTTTATGTCTGTATATTATTTCTGTGCTGTCTTCGTTATTTACGCCCATTCATTTCGTAACTAAGTGTTTGACGTTTAGCTCTCTTTCAATCTCTCTATATGACCTAACAATTGGACAATTTTAGAACTGATGATGCGTGTAATTAGTGATGACTAAAGCATAATATGAATTTCTCACTCGCCATGTTCGGCTGTTGTGTCTTTCATGGGTTTTATGGATTCGTAGTAACACTGATTTTAAACTTTTGTAATAAGGTTACGTTTTCTTTTAGTTGGACTTCGGGTTTCAGAGCTATGTAGGAGAAATGGTCTTATCAGTGTTTTATGTATTGTGATCATGCCATTATTCTTTTTCTTCGATCCTTCTGTTAAAAAACTTATATCAAGAGGTCGGCAGCCTTTATGAATGCTCTAGGGCAGTCCTTCTTCTGTATCATACAGCTTTGTCTTCACTGTGTTTGGAACAGGACAGATTGTGTCTGTGTTGTCAGCATACAGTTGACAGTTTTGGAGCACATGCTTAGCATTTTCGGGTGCCACGATGCAAGGACACGTCTCCGTGTTTCCTACACCGACACTTTTGAGCATATGTTGTGCACAGTCCTTGGTCTGAAAAAAATGTACTCAATAATAATACTGAAAATGAAGTTACCGTTTTTGATATTCCGTAAGCACACTTCTTAGATATTTCTATACCCTAACTTGTTTCTCTATAAAACCATTCAGATGTACTTGTCGTTGGTCATTAGTTCTACTGATTTCCATTGTTTTGGTTTTGATGACATTGATCTTTATGTTGCACTCACTGGAAAAAAAAATCTAGAATACGGAATGAAAATAAAGCATACTTTCGCCTATAACATCTTCTCAAACTACATGCTCTATTTGTTAACTGTCATGAATCTCCCTTATTGTTATGTATCTCTCTTTAGTTCTGGTTCCCATATATTACTTGAGTACTCCTACATAAATGTCTGGGTATAATAATAGTTACAGACGCTCAAAGGTTTCACTACAGGACCACGGATATATACATAAGCTAATGATGCACAAGCTTAGAGAAACAAGTAAACGCTTATAACTCAAAATACATTTTCTGTCATTAGTAGTATAAGAGAAGCAAAATCCAGCAATTATTTTCGTGTTTTAGCTCTTGGGGTTATATTAATAATTCTCTGTATTAAAAAATAGAGAAAAAAAAAAAAAAACACGACAATCTTTCTCCTCCGGAGGGGACCTAACAGACACAAAAAACTAACACCCCCCCCCCCCCAACCCCCTTTCGGGAGATGCGGATTTCCTCCACATGGTGAATAGAGGAAAAAAATGACAATCCCCATCCTCCGGAGGGTCCTTCCACATGGAAAATAAAAAAAACAGCGATAAATCCTCCCTCCCTAGAATGACGGATCATAGGGGGGAAAGTTATGAACACGTTTCGTAATCCAGAGGTGTTGGGGTCGACTCCAGTTAACATGCGTGAGCACAACAGGACCGCGAGCGACTACCACCTGGTGAAACAAAGACAAACCCTGACAGTCATCCTATACTCAATGGCATTGATTTCCCCAACACAAAACTAGCGCCGTACGACAGTAAGGTGGAATCGAGTCCTTGTTCTATCCATGGGAACGGCTCTGGTTGGTTAAGTGAATATAAAAGCTACCAACGCCGGGTTATCGGATAAGAACGGTTACCTTTGTTGAGGCTTGCTATAAGTTGAACTGTTCTTTGTACATTAAAGATTATGTGTGTACTCCGCAAGTGTGTGTTTTAAGTGTGTCCTAGGGTAGTAAAGTCTGTTAGTTGTCCTACTTTACGAGCCATAGGAAGTAGATAATAAAGTAGGTCCCTGACACACTTTATATGATTCTATGACATATTTTAAAAAAAATGTATGGCCAAGGAGCGGGTGTCGTATCATCGTACATGCGATTCAGTGAGTGAGTCAAGTTGCCATGTCAGGTACTTATCGTGTAAGGGTTTAAGGGTCATTGAGAGATCACTTCCTATGGTGCTATAACTTTTTATGAAGGAAAAATGAAAAATTATGGCAAAGTGGTGGGTGTCATGGTACAATATTAGGTGCCGGCGAGTCAATGAGGAAGCAGGGGGGGGGGGGGGGAGGGGTAGTTAACATGTCAGCAACTTTCATGAGGAGTTCTATGGGTCATGAGGGTAACTACGTATAATGCTATGACACAGAGTAAAAAAGACGAAAACTTATAACCAAGGGGTGTTATGATGGAAAATTGTTAGGTGCAGGCGTTCACTGTCTTGGTAGTAATTAAATAGCTCGATATTTTTCTCGACTGTGACACCTTAAGTCACTCAATATACTTCACATCTCTTTCGCTGGTCTAAGCAAGTCGGTCACTGAAGATTCCTGGTAAGCCCACCACTATCAGAGGGAGGCCAGATCTCACTCAATGTTTTTCTCCCCTGGACAGCTTAAGTCACTCAAGGGACGGATCCTGTCTTTGACTGGTCTTGACAAGTCGGTCACTGAAGTTTCTTGGTAAGATCGATCACAATACCTAGAATGCACCATGAATGCCTGTACACAATCACGTCTTGTCAACTATTCTTCACGGAGGCTATCGCGATATCTTACAAACTAGTCGAACCTTCACCAGCTTGTCCGACCGAGTGTTTCCGCTACAAAATACAAACATATTAAAAGCGAGTGGCAGGGGCTGTGCTCGGACCAGAGATTGCTGCGTCCCGCCTTTAATATGTTTGTAACATGTTTGTAAAATAACCGACAATCCTCATCGTCCAGAGGATCCGTCCACATGAAAAATAGTGGAAAAACGACCAATCCTACCACCGAGGATGAGGGTTCAAAGCGGGAAAAATTGAACGGGCTTCGTAATCCCAAGGTGCTGGGTTCAACCCGGGTGACATGCGTGAGCACAACAGGACCGCGAACAACTAAAACCTGTCGACACAAAGACACACCCTGAAAGTCATCATATTTATTTTCCCGACATAAAATGGTTAGTTAGTTAGTAAGTTAGTTAGTTGGCTTATCATCATTGCACTCCGGACATGTCCGTAGGTGCTCAGATCCTCCCCTCAGTATGAACCCCAACGTCCGATGGCTAATAGTACCAGTTCTATGTTGATTAACAAGTCTTCTGGCGTGTTTGGTGTGCGTCTCGTTTTTTGCTATGCCGATCTTAATTCCCGCGTCTGCCATTCTAGCGAGTGATGTGGATTCACTGCGCCCAAAGTCCTCTATCCTTCCCATTTCTCTGAGGGCGTTGATAATATCAGCATGATCCACAGGCCGACCGTCAGTAGTGATAGTGGATCTAGCCAGCATGTAGGCTCTTTCATTTCCATCGACGCCTGCGTGTCCCGGAACAAAATTAAAGGTGACTCCACGCACAGTGGACTTCTGTAATGATTCAAGCCACTGTCTTCGCACCGAACCGGCCTGAACCCTCCGTATCATACTCATTGAATCACTGAGTATTCATACGCGGGTGTATTTTTGTGTTTCGAGCCAGGCGAACGCTTGCGTCACTGCCATCACCTCCATCGTCATGCTGCTGGCTGTCATGAAGAAGGCGCCGTTGGCTTCTTTGACTATTCTGCCCGCTGAGCGTGCTGGGAATGCCTATGCGCTTCTTTTTTGGCGTATAACGGATACGTCTGTGTAGATTAGAGCATCTGCTTCGTCTGAATTTTCACTGATGAGAGCGTTGACCTCTGCATTAACAGCAACAGGATTCTCTTCTCTACATCGCCTCTTGAGTGTGGCAATACAGGAAAATTTACAAATAAACGCATGAGGCACAGGTATCCACTCTGCACCAGGGGTGATGTCGGTTAGGCTGCATATTTGCCTAATAACATAAAAATAGTGTCCTAGTTTGGGTTAAACAAGATCGTCATTAAACCGTATGCACCACTCAGGCACCTGGTGTACAAAGTCCAGGTAACACAATTAGAACAGGCATTTTTTCGTCGTTTCGGTGACTCACACACACTCACCCTAAGTCACAATAAGTACCACTATCAAGTTTTAGTCTTCATCTAGCCATTATATCATCGTCAGCACGCCACACTATGTAATATCGCCCCGGGACTGCCACATGTGTTCTAGCAATTCCACTAGTGCTCTTCAACCTATATACAAGCAAGGTTGCAGATCTAAACATCCGGGTGTTGGTAGGATAGTGACTCTTGCAGTTGATGTTCTTGCATGTAAGCAAAGGGACGAATAGCAACAGATTGTCCAATAACTAGAGGCAACAGTGTATGAGGCGACTGGCTGGTGTGCAGAGATGGGGCTGTCATTAACCCAGCTGATTTACGGTATTCTCCGGAGAGGATTGTTAGAGCAGATGTCCCAAACATCACAGTTACTGATACTAACTTTAAAAGCAGCAAACTCAAGTACGAGTGTATAACT